GGATATGATGCTTCCTTCGGATAACGCAAACGACGACGAAGACGATGAGAGGTCCTCTTGACAACCAGTAATTAGGCGGTGCGTTGTGTGTGGAACCCATAAATCTTGCCGGTTGTTATACTATATTGTAATAGGCATTGGCGCGTAATTCATTTCTGGTGAATTGAGGGCCAAACACCGTCAGTTAGCTTTAATTTGTGTCGCATTGTTTCCGACGACCGGGCCGGCCACACACACACACACGCACACGCACACAAAGTATGTAAGTATATCGCGATGGAAGCGAGAGAAACATACACATTATAATATAATATATATAGTACACGTATGTTGCCTAGATATAGGTATCGGTATATACCTAACCGAAATGGAAAAAAAAATAAATATATAAAACGTTATATGACAATGTTTTTCCACAAACAAAAATGGACGCACACACACACAAGCCACTGGGAGCCACTAGTCTTCGTGCTCACACACACACACACACACAAATATACACTAACGTACTACACGCGTGTAATTATATATTATCTATACACCTATATATTTATGTGTATGTAGGTATTATTATACGCAGTGTACACGAGAGAATTATTATTATTATTATTATTTATTTATTTTTTATTTATTTTTTTTTTTTTTTGAATAGGTTTTAAAGCGTTTTCCAACAATACTCACGATAGACTGTACAAAATTAACTGAGTCGAAAGCCGCTAAACAATCATGTCCTTAATTATATGGGCATATCGACGATAGCACGCATTTTGACACGTTATTATCGATGACCAAATGCGCGTGCGGCGTACGGGTGTTGCGCGGCGATGATCAGCTCTCACGGGTGGCTGGCTGATAATAATTATACAATTTTTGTTAATACTGCACGTATACAACGACGTGCATGCATATAGACTTCTGTTTAACCGTCGACGGTGCGTACCTATTACCCGCGTGGCGCGTTTATTAGCGTCACAGAGTGACCGACCATCAATTGGCGCAAACGGGAGCGAGTAGGATCGGATAGGGGCCATAAGGTCTCCAAATTATTTTCACGTGTTATGCGATCATTTTTTTTGCTCGCGATTATTGATTATTTAGCTATTGCAAGTAATGATGACCGTAGTAAATATTTATGTCATAAAAGTTGAATAGCAAACAATTGTATCGTTTGTACCTACTTTAATTCTTGTGGTGAACAATGACTTTAAATCAGGAAATATAAAAAAATATACTGATATAGTGATATGATATTTAAAACAATTTTTCTGAAATTAAATTAACTATTGAAATCGGTAATAACGCTGCTGTCAATCAGTTCGGTCACATTTGAACGAAATGTTTTTCGTTATATCAAAACATTGTGGCTGTTAAGCTTAATGGTTCAAAATTGTTTCAATTGTCTATCTAATGTCTATCGTTAATATGGAAAAAAAAGATGTCAAGGTATGATGAAGATATATTGAGAAATTTGCTAAACATTATTAATAATAGTTTTATTTGTTGCGATAACATCACAATTATATATATTTGTTTTTATCGGTAATAGTTTAAGAAGAGAGGCTTGGAGTACAGCATTTCATATTATTTATGAATGTTAAAAATAATATTCCTGCTCATTTTAATTAATTTTTGTCAATAAAACCACCGTGAACATCGTTTAAACTTTATAGTTACATTTTACTCCTGAGAAACTAAAAACAATAGGTAAAAACTCTAAACATATGTTACTAAGTATACATATAGTTATAGCGTTTTACGAACTTAACATCTTTGCCTTTCGGACTGATGAACGCAAGATAAATAATATAAAGCATAAAATACTATGTGGGACGAGAGAGACGTTATATTATATATATTGATTCAAATTGTTATTGAACACACGCACTGCAATAATAATTGGAAAACAAATTTAAATGTGTAAATACATTATGCTCGTAATCGAGAAAAATAATTTTATTGATAAACGGCGAATGCTAATTTTTAATAATTATACTGCTGGCCTAGTTTGAAAAAAAAGTTGGAAAGTATAAACATAATAGTATGTAAAGACTTACGACCTACTTAACCACAGCATATTATTCTGTATGTTTTGAATGTGTTGATACTAGGTAAAAATTTATAAATTTAAAATATACTGTAGGTTCTACTTAAAGTAGGGGTCCGTTAGTCTGATGTTTTGTTATTGAACGAACTCTTATTTATGATTTCATATGTTTTACGTTTTTTATTATTTTTACTGTAATTAATGTTACTTATTGTAATTATTTAAATGTTTAAACAGATTGTAATATAATTTAATTTAATAATAAGAAAAAAGTTACATTGGGACCCGACCAGTCTATCCCGAGAGTTTATCAACTAAATAGATTTTATAATGAGTAAAATTAGTATGAGATCAAATGACAGTAAAATTTACAATTGGAAAATAATTAAAAAAATATTGTTTAAAAAATAATCATTTTAAGTTTTAAATTTTATAATAAAAATGGAATTTTTATTAGTGTATACACTTTTTAAGAAATAGTCTATATTCTTATTGATATTTATAAATCCTATCCATTTATATACATATATACATACTATATACTCCTTTTTTTATAAATATCTGTTATCTTTTCAAAGAATATTTTTTAGTTTAAATTACTTAAATATCTATACAGCGGTAAACATCGTGATGAATATAATTGATTCCCTCTATATGATTATATTTAATTTGATATTTACAATTTATAATTGCTATTTTTACATTGCTTAGTAATAAATTAAATATGATTTTGTCTTTCATTGAGACAATGTAAGAGTAATCAAGTTCGATTGATAATTGAATTTGTCACAAAAAGGTTTTTTTTGTATTTTATTAAGCAATATTTTTTTAAATTTTTTTTATGAATGAAAAGCAAATATAATCGGTAGTGCTATTTTGGAATATTTTTTTTTTTATCATGGCTCAAAATAAAGGGCGTTGTAATAGTGCCTATCTAAAGTATGATATTTTAAAATCTGCCCCCTCCTTTAAGGTTAAGGTGGCATATTCCTTAACACGTTATTAGTTGTGACCGCTGCAGTTGTTATTGTATATTACCGCGATCGGAGCCGGGCGAATGTATAAACTATGTTATTATTATGATACACATTAAAAACACGTATTGATATAGTATATTATAATATTATTGGCTAGTGTATATAATCTCATCACGTGGCAATCGATTACTAATCCTCGGGTATGTACACATTAGTTTATTATTACTTACGTATACTTACCTACGTGTACAACAGGAGTACGAGATGACGAACGACGTTCACAACGAAATACACAGTTAAGTAATTTACTATACAATATAATACGCGAACAAAAAAATAAAAATAAAAAGATGGAAAAAGAATGTCACCTCGCCTCATCCGTTTGCCGACTCGGAGATTGCATATTATTATTATTATTATTTTACGTATTTTATCTTTCATTCCTTCATATAATTGGACTAAGGTATACAATATATATAACTATTATAATATAATAATAATATAATAATATGTTATAATATTACACACAGAGAAACACAAGTCATATGCGCGTGCGTGCGTGCATGCGTTTGACTGTGCGGATACCGAACAAAATTAACTGTCGGAACGCATATACTATTACGTATACCTATATGGGTACGCCGCGGCAGTCGTTGCACCTTGGTCGTGCTTGTGTGAAAGAACAACCGAAGCGTGCGCACATCAAAATACAGTAGCAGTCTGGTAGCAATCCAGTCACCGCACCGTAGGAATGTCCCGTGCAAGGTAGTCGGCGGCTGCGGCGGTGGCGGTGACTATAGGAAAAACAAAACCTTCATAATGAATATACATAAAAGTAATATATTAAAATATTATATTTTATCGGAACACGGATATTATCATACCCCTTGCACACACATCACACGCACACAAACACGCGCGCTATCGAAGACTTAAAGGATACCATCGTATCGTGTTTACCCACACCGGATCACCCGGATTCTCTCACCCGCTCGTCGCCCACCCGAAATGATTTTTTTTTTCCTATATTTTTTTTTTATACGTCATTTTTTTCACGCAGATTTTTGTATGTATATATTTTTTTCTCCGACGGTTTCGGTTTGTCTCTCTCTCTTAAATTTTCGATAGCCGAAAATGGGGAAAAAAATATTGTTGATCACGCATCGTCGCGCTAAAACTAGTATATATACCTACTTGCGGTCGTACACATAAAACGGCGTAAAACAACTAAAAATTAATATTATTATATCGCTTGTACACACACACACACACACACACATACACATTAAATATTATTATATAAAAATGCGTATTTGTATATATGTGTAGGTACGGCTAAGCCGCTACCGGTCCGTAGCTGTCTGTACATAAAATAAAATGTGCTCGCCGATGCGTCTAACTTTGCATTTGCCTTAGCCGTCGAGGTATATAATATTAATATTAAAGTCTGTTATATGTGTATGGTTGCTGACAAACCACTGCCACCGTCGTCGTCGTATACGAATATTGTATATTATTTCCGTCCATATATAAATACAGACGATGTATACATAGGCGGAGCTTGATAAATTTAGTTGAGGGGGCTCAAGCCCTAGATTATTTAAAGAAAATAATTATTAATAACTTTCTATTTGCTTAAATATACCTTGTATTTGTTTTTAAAAACAAAAAAAATAAATTTTAAAAATAAAAACCATTCAGTGTTCAGTGTGTTGCAGTTAATTATATATCAATATAAATATGAACAAATAAACTACAATTTATTGATGTATTGCAGAGTATTTCAACATTACTACAAATACAAAAATAAACAGTAAAATAAAAAAATAACTTATGTAAAAGAAATAACTAACTGTTTTATTAAATAATATTATACATTTTAGATTTAAAAAAAAAAAGATTCCAATTTTGATCATGATAAAATAAGAATTTAAAAAATAAATATAAATGAGTAATGGACCATAAATTACTTTAAAATGTTAAATAGTTAATTGAATTCTTCTTGAACCACATTTGGCAAAGTCTTCAAGAATCTGTTTTGATTCAATTGATGTCTTTACTAATTCATTTTCTATGTGTATTATTGCCAAATTGCTAAATCTATTTTGAATCATAGTAGTCCTTAACCAATTTTTAATCCTTCTCATAGCTGAGAAGGATCGCTCACATGAAGCTGAGCTTACTGGTATACTTAGTGCCACTTGTAACAAATTATGTAAATTAGGATATAGTTCTAATGTAACTGTTGAAAACAAATCTTGAATAGTCCAATTTTTGATTTTGGAATTTAAATAATTATTTACAATCATCATTTCAGCTTTTAATATATCTTTTCTTATCTTTAAGTTATCACTATAATATTCAATGAATTCTAATGAACCATCAAAATCAAGCATAAAAAAAGTTATCAATTGATTTTGCCAATTTTAGGCTTTCATCAGAAAACCTAGTTTTCATTCTATTAGTGATATTATCAATAATTGTATTATAAACATCAATTTTCCAATATTTTTCAATTGTTAAATTCTCTTCATGAGCTCCAATTGTAGAAGTTACAAGAGAACTTTTTAAATATTGATTCTCAACAGGTTTCCTTTTTTTTGAAAATTCTTCATAGTTCAAACAAACACCAAACTTTCTTGAAAAGTTAGTGATATCATCCCACAATAGTTTAAAATTCTTATCAGACCTTTTTTCTTGTAAAGTTTGTATTACACCATTAATTGCTGAAGTTGCTTGGCCTAATGTTATATCTTTTTTTTGTAATGTTTGACTTAATAGATCAATAGTTAATAAAATGTCATGAAATACAAATAAATTAAAAATAAATTGTGCTTTTTTTATTCCCTTTAAAATACCAACAGCTTCAACAGCATATTTATTTTTATTATTATTTATTTCTTCTTCTAATGCATTTATTATTGATTGATAATTAATTTTAACGTTATGGCAATTTTTGTACCTACATGCCCATCTAGTAGTACTTAGCTGTGTAAGTTCATGTGGTTTTAACCCCAATTTTTTTTGCATTTGAATAAATGTACTGTGGCTGGATGGTTGAGAAAAATGAATATAAAGCATTTCTAATAAATTAAAAAAAGTTATTGAACTTCTTATATGTTTACAAGTGTCAGTAACCACCAAGGCTAGTTTATGTGCTGCACAATGAAAGTATACAGCAGTTGGATATTTTTCTCTAATCTTAGCTTGTAGTCCTCCTACAGCGCCTGACATCACGCTAGCACCGTCATATGTTTGTGCAACAATGGGTATGTCAGCTATTTCTAATTGTTTTAGTTCATTTATAATAATATTTTTCAAACTTTCTGCATCCCTTGACTGAGAGCAATCAATAAATTTTATAAAACGTTCACATACTTCAAATCCATTACAATATCTCACACACAAACTCAATTGTTCTTCTTTAAATGAACGTGCCTCATCACATATTAATGAATACTTTCCACATCTTCTAATTTCATTTGTTATGACTTTTATAGTTGAATTGGATATAATATTGAGAATTTCATTTTGGATATCATGGCTTGTATATGATAAGTATGTATGATATTTTATTCTAAAATTACTGTCAAACTTACAAAATAGTTCACATAATTCTAAAAAATTTCCTTTGTTAGAACTTTCTTGTTTTTCATTGTGACCTCTAAAGGCCAGCCCCTGTCTAGCTAAGTACAAAATAATTTCAATAATATTTTGTATATATAACTGATTATTTAAAATGTCTGTTTTAAATTGATCTGAAAGTTGAGTATGAACATTACCATGGATTTTTGATTGTTTATATTGATTGTATTTTTCTATGCTACTACAATGACTTTTGCAGTTAGAATGTTTTTCTAATTTTTCACTTAATTTTTTCCAATTATTAAAACCAATTTTTTTAAAAATATCTTCTGATGTATTTAAGTTATCAAACTGTCTACATACAAAACAATATATAGAGTCTTGGTGAACACTATATTCAACCCAAAAATATTTTTCATAATATTTACAAGAAAATGAACGATTCTGTTTGCCTATTTTTTTTAATGGATAAGATAAAATTGGCTGTTTTGGGCCAGATTCTAAACTTCCTAAATCTATTACTGGATTACTACTTATTTGCTTATTAAATTCAATACAATTACTTTCATTTTCAGAATTATTTAAATATAAAAAACTGTTACCGGGATTGTTTTCTGGATTTTCTATTGAATCATTTTGATTATTTGTTGAAATACTTTTTGAAGTATTGGTGAAAAATGTTCTAATATCGCCAAAACGTTTCATGTTATAAGTTATAACTAGTGAAATACTGAAGTTAAAAACAATACAAATGTACTCACGCAGTCACGTATTCACTAATACTGAAGTTAAAACTAAATAATAATATTATGTAAACATAAACAATTATAAATTGATTATCTGCAATATTTATAGCAATGTTTAATAATAATAATAATAATAATAGCTTATGGGTAATGTGTACGTATCAACATCAACTATAAATAGCCTTGCGTTGCGTCCCTGTCGTTGTGTGATGTGTATAGTGTATGAGTGAGTAGCACCATGCGACAAGACGAGTAAGACGACGCAACTCAATAATCTTACGAATTTTAATTAATATTATAAACATAACAAGATAACAAGATACATTACATTTTAAATCACACCATAGACTAAGCACATATATATACTGTAATATATTTAAATACTATTGTATGTTATTAAAATCATTGTGTAAATTAAGATAATTTTCCACACAACTAACCAGGTAGTTATTCACTCGTCAGATCTATGACGTTACGTCGCTAGTATATCTCATTATCTAGTTGAATAATTATTTTTCATAATTCCGGATTTTTACATAAACGTTTTTCATTATTTTGGTTACAATATCAAAACAATAAACGTAAAAAAAAATAGTGTTGATATGCCCTTTAAATAGTATATTTGTGAATCATAATACAAAATATTAGGTACATAAATACGGTAAATATTTGGGAGGGCTAATCGAAAACTTAGGGGGGCTTAGCTCCCCCAAGCCCCCTTCTAGCTCCGCCTATGGATGTATATACATATAAAATCCTTAGATAAATTTTAAAGCAAAATAATATTTTAATATCTTAACAGCAGTCGCCGCTTGCTATTTCGCGTGTGTGGTTCCTTTAACGACACGGTAGATGCACCGAACGATAAACAACAAAAAAACTCGTCTCGATCGGCTACCGCCTTGCTGCTAATACGTGTGGTCTTCTTAATAGATGTTTTGGAGGTCTTTTGAAAACACCAAAAGTCCGATACGTATATTAAATACTGTAGGTAGTATATATTATAATATATCTGTTATTAATTTATGTGTGAAATCGTGCAATGAATTATGATATCGTATAGAATTCAATTTAAATCTATAACCGAGGACTACCGCGGTCTATGGTTGAACTAGGGCTAGGAATGTAACTGTACACCAAAACAATTGAAGAGTCCACTTTAAGAGAACACCTGCAACATTTGTTGTCTCCATCTTTATAAAAGTGAATTTATAAAGAATATTCAGTCATTTACGTTTAGTTTCGTTAGTTTTAATATTAGTTACATTTATTTAGTTTGGTTAGGGTAGTAAAATGGATAAATGTTCGCTTAAAGATCAAAATATTAAAAATGAAATAATATATATATATATATATATATTTAAATTGGAATAAAAAATAATGTGAGTTTGAAAATCTTTCTTACAATAATAAAATAAATATATACGTAGTTATGTAAAATTAATTTTACTGTTTTAGAATTTATTGTACGATGTAAATGTATCGTAATTAAAGTCTTATTATTTTATCAAAAAAAAAAAATATATATATATATATATATATTAAAGGGTAGCCGTCAATCATAATAAATTTTATCATTTTATGGTGAGGAAAATGTTAGTTTCATACGTACACTTAACTTGAAAGTGGATTAGCGACCAGGACATAAATAATTCTGTTTTGTATCGTTTATTAAAAACAAATAATTAATATTAATTGTTTTTGTAAATAATTAACTAGGTATATTTGTATAGTTCTTAATAATTCATCCCAGTTAAAATGTGAATATAATATAATCTCGTTATTTTTTAATTGTTGTTATACTATTTACGATCAGGTATAATTATATACCTTTTACATTTAAGATTATATTTTATTTATATTCTATACCTACACATATTTATTACTTAATATAGGTACACAGTACTTATTTATTTAATATTTTACCGTGAGGCATTGCGGTATGCTTATTAGAAAAATTATAACTTTAAGCATATTTTAAAAAGTTTTTATTACGCCTGGATTTATTTTTGTACAATATATGTAAATAAAATAAATTAATACGAGTACGTGACAAGTTCCTTATGAATTATGAAAATAAACTTATTTCTACCTATTGTTAAACAGCTAATTATAATTACGTATAATTATTATATTTTATATGCGGAACTATCCGACTGTGAGAATGTGAGGTATCGACGAGGATAAAAAACACTTCGTTATAAACGATTACGATATGAATGGTTTATCAAACATAAAACGGTTCATAAAAATGAATTGAGATTCGTAAAAAAGTCTGGATTGTATAATATATACAATATACATTCATATTATTTATAATTCGTAAGGTTTATATAATCAATAGATTGCTGCATATACATTTAACGTAAAATAAATTAAGTCGAAAAATGGATTTTCATTAAATTTTATAGAAATGTTGTAACTAATAAAAAATGCAAAAATTACCTATATAAAAACCGTGTACTTATCTATTGATATCCGTGACCTGTGCTAAATTTATAGAATTTAATTAAAAGGCTGAATAACGTTTTATCGTTACTCCAATTTATAGATCAAAATCAAAATTGACCTTCCATATGCATATCTAAACCTAAATTTTAGGGCATGCGGAAAATTTTAAGCTGATATACATAGATGACTTACCTAATTCATTTTCTTACCGGCTCTTTTAAAATGTTTTCAAATTAAAAGATTAGAAATTCAGTAACAATTATCACTATTAATTTTCATGTAAGTATTTATCTTTTTGGTGTATATTTTCCACATTACAAATAAGTATATAGGTATAAAAATATAACATAAGCAAGTTAAAACAAACACCATTATTTAGGTTTTAATGCGTATGTATAATTTATTTATTTTATGTATATTTTTCTAATTATTATATACTGCACTTATTTAAAACTAATCGATTTTCAGTGATTTTTAGTATTACATAATTTTTTTTTTTACTTATTTTGTGGTAATATATTCTTGTATATTTAATTACCTACATACAAATTAGTAAATTACTGTAGTAACATACTCGTCCTCAACTATTTTTTTTTTACTTACCGCATGCTTGAAAAATTACGCTCGCGTGTTACAGAATTAATTAGAATCATGATGACAGTTTATAGCAATTTATTCAAGTTATAGGAAAAACTTCATTTTTTTACATTTCCAAGCACATTGTTATTGATAATATTGATTATGATACAAAATTACTGTTATTAACACCATTCTATAATTGTTTTGAAATAAAATATTTCAAAATATAAATGCTAGAAAAATGAATTTAATCAATCGGAAAACACAATACTTATTAAAATTTATTTTTGAATATCTATAGGCACCCATATAAATATTAAATTTAAGAATGTAAGAGTTATGGCTTGAATTTTAGGGAGTGTTCATTTTGAGTTTTAGGGTTTAGCAGTCCATTAGTCTTGTCTTTCAGTTTCCTTCTAAAAAAAATCGAATTGCTGTTTTTAAATGATTGACACCTCTAAACAGCTTAAACAATATACAATTTTCTACTTATAAGTTATAACAATTCAGTTTCAGTTTATATCAATAATTATACATCAAAAACATACATATTATGAAAAATTTAATGTCAATGCTTTTTATATCTTATGTGTTCATTGAAATTTTTTGACTCGACGAACATAAATTTATCAATAAGTACCCATGTGTGCTTTTAGTACCAATATAATACTGCAATAGATTTGGTATACGATTGGTGCTCATAGTTAATAGATTTAAGTTTCGATATTTGACTCGTAAAAATCACGTATGAAGTAGTATTTATTTTTAAACATTAGCTTCTAATAATGTAATATTAAAAAGTTTCAACAAACATATTAATGAAAAGTATAACAAGAAAGTGTTTACTAAAAACAGAAAAAAACAAAATAGTAACTACGTTAAAATGAAAAAATGATAGTTGTGGATAATTATAGTATAATATTTTTACCCAACGATTAAAGATTTTACATAATGAATTTAAAGGTGGTGACATTTCAAAACTTAAATAAAAGACGTTATTTTCATGAAAAAAAAATAAACATTCAATCGTTAATTCATCTAAAATTACTTATAAATGTAGTTGAATTGTTTTACAGTCTATGAACAATATAGCAAATAATGACAAAATTATTATTTTTAAATGACTTCAAAAATTTGATAGTAGGTTTCAAATTATGCGTGATTAAAAATTTTTTATATATTGATGTTTTGAAATTGAGATGGTATTGATTTTTGGGTCATCAAACGTACATGTGGATAACGCTAATAGGCTGAACCTAAGCCACCAACAAATATTTGTTGGAATCAATTCTGATAACCCGAAAGTATTCGTGAGACTCAATTCGTTATTACCAAATACACCGTCTACCAGCTATGATACACTATAAATTATCATAATAACAATACGGCTATAGACCCGCTATACCTACGAGTTAAACATGCTAAGTATGTTTATTACGTATACCTACCTACATATGGGCTTACACGCGTACATTTATACATGATATAAATGTATAGGTATATTATAATTTATAGCCACGGTGGTATAAATATCAATCGCGCACAATCAGTGTGATGATTTCTAAACTCTCGACTACCGTCAATCACTGGTGATTATTATTATTATTATTATTATTATAATACACCGTATAGCTACAGCAGAACCCGAGAGAGAAACCTCATAAGCATCATCACGGACGTCGTTATGATAATAATATAAATGTATAGGATACGCGTCGCAGTCGCGGATACGCACATATACACGGTATAAGGTATATGCGGTACATGTATATATATATATCACGGCATATTATATTATTATTAATATGTGGGCACGCGGCTGCGGTGCGAGCTGCAGTGTATATTATATTATGTCCACCGGGAGAATCTATCTGCCCTCTTGGTCCGCGACGTGCACCTGACAGCGTATTAACATTAATAACGACGGGC